CTCCCTTTCATTTCAGCACTCATCCAGGTTATTTGAATAGTCAGCTAAATCTGAGGGGGAAAAAAAAAAAAAAAAGAACCACCAACCAAACGTGCTGAGATCTTACAGTCTATCTGTTTTGTTCACAGATATGGATCAGGGGTGAGATGGGCTCTTTTCCTGGCTCTGCTCTTCCTTGGAAGTAGCTGAATGAGCAGAGAGACAGCGTGGACAAGTAACGCGTGGGACTGAACTTCGGGGAGGTTACAAGTTTTTCACCTTTTTCAAGTATTAAAATTAAAATAAAATTACATATATTAAAAAAAAAAAAAAAGAAAGAAAAAAAAAAAAAGAAGCCCAGACTCCACCTTTGCACTGAAGGGATTGGTTATGCAAATATGGAAGGGGTTTCCTGGCAAATACAGCTTTCTACTGTATGGTTAATTAAATCATCACTCAAAAGCCTTCCAATGTGACGCTTCTGTCGTAATCCAATCAGGTTACGTAGGTCCTAAACAAGAAAGATATTTTCCACATCTGGAAGTCAGCAATTTAGCAAGTACTGCACATTATTAACCAATTCAGAGCCCACTTCCCAGGGGGATAGTTTTTTCTCTTTTTTTGAAGTTTAAGTGTTCTTAACCAACGCTCTGCCGGTTTGTTAATCAGAAAGCTGGTTTGCACCGCACGTAATCGAGAAGTAATATCGAAGTAAGTAAGTAAAGGCAGCCCGAGCTGGGGATGCTGAGCGAAGGCTTTCAGCTGCAAAGGGGGCTGATCCGGCTGAGCCTCCAGCCGCTCATGCCCAGCTCCCAGCACAACCCACAGCCGTTCCTTCCTCTAGAAGAGCTCGAAATAATATCAGTGCAAAGAGAAACTTCGCATCTTGCCTACTCGTACGGTCCTTTCCCGAGGTAAACGTGGGGCTGCCCAAAGGGCTGCGTTAAAGAGCTGCGAAACAATGTCGCTGCTCTGACTAGAGTTCAACCCATTACAGCACTTTATTTCTTTTTTTTTTTCCTCCTCCCCCTCCTGAAGAAAACCGAAACAAATGGCACACTGATCCCACACTGCACTTTTACTTACATTGAGCTTAGATAAACTGCTCTTGAACTGTGCGTTGAACGTGTGCCTAAAGCAAGAAGTGGAAGGCGAGCAACAGCGATAGGGATTGCGCTCCAAAATGGTCCTGCTCAGGGAACACCTTCCTGACGGTTCAGCATCGCAAAGGAAGGAAGAGAACCCCCGCCTCGCCCCTCTCGCCCCCATGCCGTGTGTCTTTGCAGCTCATCAGACACACCGAGATTTGCTTGGGATTTTTTTTTTTTTTTGGTCATCTGTGAGTTAGATGGGACTGCGAGATGCGGGGGAGGCAGCGCTCAGAGGGGGCTCCGGACAGGGGCATCCAAATCCCCCTCCCGGGATGGGAAATATCCACCAACCCCCTCTCCGAGTGTCCCCTTCCCCAACCCCGAGCTGCAGGAGGAGTGGGGAGGGAGAGGCAGGCTCTGGCAGTTTGCTGCCGCTGAAATCCCTAACTATGCAAAGGTGGGAACAAGCTTCCCATTTTTTAAAAATTATTACTATTATTTTTATTTATATTTCTTATTTTTCCCCTGCTATGAGTCATCCTGGCTTTGCCAGAAGTTTTCTTGTCACTGTGCTCTAAATGCCAACATGATTTTCCTGCAGCATGCCTGACTTCTCTATGCCTAAATATACCTGTATACACAGAGACATATCACACACACACACACACACACACGCACACACACACACAGAGTGATGATATCTTAATGAAATATATAGCACTGTGCAAATATCTTGAAATCAGATTCAAGTATTATTAATTTGAATTAGATCCTCTCAGATCCAGAAGGCACTGCCTATAAATCAAGGGCAGTCTGGCAATTCCTTAAAGAGCTAAACTGAATTTAGATGCATATGATAAAAAGAAAGAAAAAGAAAAAAGTGAATGCTAATTACCGACTAGCTTGATTTCCACTCGCCCACGTTTTCTAGGAGGATAAGGAAAAAAAAAATCAAACCCTCAACCAACAAGTTCTCAAAATAAATTAATCCCATTACAAACTCCTTACATATTGTTCATACATTTCCAGATTACAAAACGAGAGGATGAACTGGAGATTACGAGACGCTACAGCCTAACCCGCAATAGGCAGGAGTGCCGTCGATGTTGTATCATTAAAACGTATATATCTTCAGCCACACTGAAAAAACAAACCCTCAGACCGTGTGATGATGCTCAAGGGCTTTAAGGAACATGTTGGCATTGTCAGATAATCCCTATTCATAATTTTGCTGGCTGTTCTTTCAGCCCTCAATCTCACAGTGTCTCCAGCTCTGAAGTGCCTCAGCAGGGTTTGCATCGGAGCGATAAACTGCTCGGATCTTCGCAGGAGTGACATAGCACCCAACCTTATTAGATGTTATTTAAATGTGGGATGTAGTTGTGTTTTTTTTTTTTATTTATTTTTATTTTTAATTTTTGGATGCCGGACATAAACATTTAGCAATCAGCTAAGCCCTTCTGAGATGGAATTTAACCTTAATCCAGGCGATGATTTCCTGCCCTACTCTGAACTAATAACGGGCGTGCAGCTTCTTTAGGAGATGGAAATAATGACAGCCTATAGATCCTGCCTTTATTGGGGTGGTGCTCGGCTCCCAGTCCCTGCACCATCAGCATCCCCATGCAGATCCTATTCCCTGCTCTATTTTAAAACTTTTGCAAATCCAATCTCCCCCCCCCCCCCATCAGTTTAAAAGCAAGAGGAGCCAAAATATGCCCACAAACTCCAGCTCCCTCCTTGTGTGCAGCTCCCAGTGCTGTTGTGGCCTGGGGATGGTTTTAAGGGCAGTTCTCTGGATGCAGGTTTTTCCTCTTTTCCTCAAGTTTTCCTACATGGAAATGAAGAGAGCTGAGATGGGAGCAGCCTGATGCTGGTGCAGACCTGCCTGAGTAAAGCCATGGGGGAAACCAGCTTGTCCTCAGTGGATTTCCCTTCGCCCACCAAAACTTATCATGATGATGACCTGCTATGTTCCCATCCCTGTGTGGATCTGTAGGGCTGGCCAAGGGCAAATCCTGCAGCAGGGACAAACCCTGCCATGAAAAGGGGGCCGTGCAGGGAGAGAATTCCCAGGCCTGCAGGCATCAAGGTGTGATTGGCAGGGGAGGTGACCAAGCCACCAAGGAGGGATTCAGGGCACGGGCCCTGGAGGACTTGGGCCTTCTGCTGGGACCTTGTGCCATGGTGGCTTTGTGGGGGTTTGGTGGCACAGTTTGGGGGGATGATTCACAGCCTTATTCATTTAGGTATGTTTGCTTTTTTCCCAGCACAGGATGGTAATGGGGACTCGGTTTTCTCGCCTATGTGGAAGGAGGAAAATCAAAGAAACAGCAGCAAAACGGTTCTGGCAGATAAGTTTTGACTAATACATTTTAGAGGCCGGTGAAGACAGTGGTTTAACACCTTTAAATAAGCTTCAGCTGCTTTGAGGCTTTTCCTTCAGGTCTTTCATCACCATAACCCTCTAATATTTTCCCCAAAGTGTGGAACCCTTCCCGCATCAGGGATTAAACATCCCCGTGTAGGGGACCCAGATGAGATGTGCCCACTTGCAATGGAGCCTGGGGAAAGCATCCTTCCCTCCCCACAGCCCTGCTCTGCCAAGGGAGCGGCTCCTGCAAGAACTGGGGCTCCCTGTGGGTTCTGGCTGTTCCTCATGCACAATCTCTGGGGTGCTGAAGCCCAATTTCTTTGAGAAGAAATTGGGAGACTGTGAAAAATAAAAACCCAAACCAACCCCAAACCAACAACAACAACTAAAAAAAAAAAAAAAGCCAGGGTGGATTATTTTCTGCAGTCGCCTGTATTGGTAGAGGATAAGACTGGCTGGAATAATTTTTGTGTGAGTGGGGAAGGGCCCCATGTGGCCCCAAGATGCTGCTGTATACTTTTCCTCAATACAGGTGTCTCTATAAACTGAGATTTAGAAAGTAAAGCCTCTATTTTTTTCCATTTCCACTTGGAGTTGTGGGCACAGAGGAGAGGAAGAAAGGGTCAGGGAATGACTCTCCCCTCACCTGCTGATGAGGTATTTGGGAAAAAACCTTTTGAATCAACATTCCCAAAGTTTTTGAGTTCCTCTGAGGAAAACCCATGTAGGGATAGGATATGAGCCAAAAGTAAGGGAAAAGATTGTCTGGCTTTAATTTATCTATCCCTGGGCATTTCTAACAAGCTGATCACTGTAATATTTAATCTTGTGCGAGTCCCTGCACGTTAAAAGTGAATCTCCCTCATATGTTTTTCTTAATTTTGTCATTTATAAAGTTGCTTCTGGCAGCCTAGAGCTGCTCAGCTCCTGTTCACAACGTCTCTCTGTGTGTCTGCAGTGGGAGAACAGCATCCACAGGACCCCGAACCTCTTCTCACACGGGGCAGTGAGCAACAAGCATCCTCCATCTGCTGTCCCGCACCGTGAGCTGGAGATGCTTTTTCCTTCTCTTCTGGGATCAGTGCTGAAGTTCGACCACATTTCTTGGCTCAGTTGGCAGTGATTAAAATTCACGGCTCACTTTTGTTTATAGTTGGTTGTTTACTTTGTTGAATTTTTAAAAACTTGTTAGAATGCAATTGAACACAGATTCAACGGTATTTAGGCTTGAAAAATAAAGATGCATTAGAAAGATGCCTATTATGCTTCAGAATTATTAATTGACATTTTTATGATGAATAATTAATCATTTGAATAATTTTCGTATCTCTGATCTGAACACATATTTGCATATCTAATGTCTGATTTTAAATGTGGTTTCTTTAGTTGCATTCTCCCAGGACAAAGACATGAAGTAAGTAACATCCTAATGCAAAACTTTTTTTTTTTTCTTTGCACTAGTAAAAGTGTGTTTATTGAAATGTAAGTTCCTATCTAGTTATGAAGCTGTTAATAATCTATGCATGACATATATGCATTAATAAGACGGTGAATCTTCTGGATATGAGCACATTTAGGCCTCATTTTCTTAAATACATTGGTGAGGTTTCCTGTAGTACATACATGCTACTTAAAACCATGTGGGGTTAAGCTCGGAAACCGTAAGGGAATATCTCAGATACGCAGTGTTCCCGTCTTGTTTATATGACACTTAGTGAGAAGACCAAAGGTTGTTTCAGCTTGAGTTGATTGAAACATCAAGAACTTTTAACATAAATTTCTTCCAGTGTCCTCCCAGTGAGCCAGCATCGGTATTTTCTTGTTGTATTTCAATATGCCTCAGTCACAGACCTCGGGGCCCTGCCTGCTCCGAGCTGGTGACAATAAAGGAACAACCGAAGCTGCAGATCAGTTATAAGTTGGTCAGCAAAGAGGTGCAAGGGATGGTGCTTGTTGTGCAACCCTGCTCAGCGCTGAGTTGGTGTGAGCACAGCTCAGCCACAGGGGGAACAGAAAGGAGGAAGGGGCAGCTGGACAAAACCAGAAGTCAAAAGGTATAAAAATTAAATAAAGGAATTAAAGAAGTAGCCTCTGCTCTGCTGCCTCTGACCACAGGTTAATTGTTACAGCGATACTGCCCTGCCTGGCACCCAAGGAGCTGCTTTCACTTAGGCAAGGTCTGAATTTGATTTATTAAGAAATTCAAGCTTTGGATAACTTTTATTTAGTGGCACATTTAAATGTACAGGATATCCAAATATTCTGTGTGTAGCCTCTTGTCTCCTTGATGTCATACTGAAGAACCAGAGTGATAGCTGCTCTAGAAATACCTTAAATTGATGGATGATTTAGATGTAGCAGATTAGGGAAATTACATCAAAATGAAGGCACAAATGCATAGCCATGTTTAATTTTTTTTTTTGTGCCATTAATACAAGGTACATAGTAATATACAACGTAAAATGAAAATAAAAGCTTTTAATATCTATTTTTTCCACACCAGGTAGTAATATATATGCCCTATATATATATATATATATATATTTATGGTAGAAGTATATTTTATAGACTGTGGAAATCTTGTGGGCAATATCTAACAGACAGGCACGGTATAAAGAAACCGTGAAAGTAGTTCTCAGAACGGACTGGAGTTATATTGAATAGGATGTTTAGCAGTTGCATATGCTCAGTGATAACAGATTCCTCTTTTTTTTTTTTTTTTTTTTTTTTTTTTTTAATTCTAGGAAAGGTTGAATTTGTAATAGCAAGAGGGGTAAGCTTGAGCAATACTTGTCACATGGAGAGCCGAGCTCTGAGCCCGGTGACCAAATCTGCCATAGCTGTGGCCATCAGGGGGGTGGCAGTGGCAGCGAGTTCTCTGCAAAAGCAAGAGGTGAGAATTGGAGTTAAACCTCTGCTTTTTGGTTCTAAAAGGAGGAGAGAAAGCAAAGACCCCTGGGATGCTCCCACACTTCTTTGCAAAGGAAGACAGCACTTTTAGGGGTGGTGGTCACCCAGCCACCCAGCTGCAGTGCTGCGGGGAAGACAACCAGTGCTGAGAATCACAGAATGGTTTGGATTGGAAGGGACCTTAAAATCCATCCTATTCCAACCCCCTGCCATGGGCAGAGACACCTTCCTTCAGGTCAGGTTGCTCCAAGCCCCATCCAACCTGGTCTTGAGCAGTTCCATGGAAGGGGAATTAAGAACATCAGCCAAAGCCCCTTGGACATGGTTGTGCCTTTGTGAGGCCAATGGACAACTTTGTGGTGGATTTATTAATGTGGAAAATGGAGATTTTTGTTTTGTTTTAACCAGGCTGAATGGTGAGTATGAATTCTACAATTACACAGTAGCCCCTGTTCTACTTATTTGCTGGCAGATCAAATTTCCTTTTCCCCGGTTTTCTTAGCATCTCCCTATTTTCCCCACTGACTACTGCTTAAGTTAATAGAGGTGAAAATTACCAGCAGAGAATCTGGGTGCAAAGCTGACATCTTGATGGCCATCCGAAAGTTCCAGAGTCGATCGATTGCCCCAATTATTTCTTATCACCGCCCAGGGGAAAACACGTCCCTCTCTCTGCGACTCCGGGAGATTAGCTGCATGTTTTGAAATCTACGGAAACACAAGGGTTACAAAGATATGTAGAAAAATCCCAGATGATTTGAAACAATTAGATACTGCAGCACAGCTTCCAAAGAAATTCCGTGTGTACAGAATTGCCCAGTGTCTGGAAAATTGCTGCCGTCCTGTGGGTGGTTGCTGGCTGTGCCAGGTTCCAGGAGAAGTAGAGGCACAACACAGTGACTGCTGCACACCTAAACTGCAGATTTACCCTCGAACTGGCAGACATCCCCTGCCTCAGGGGTGGCACTGGACTTGCCAGGTCTTCTGTTTGCTTCTCTCCCACTATCAGCATCATCTCCAGCCTGTCTATGGATAGAGGTTTGACCAACTGGCCCCTTTCCAAGCCCAAATCTTAGACTCTGGGTTATTAGAGCAGTCAGAAACAGGAGAGATATTTTTTCCCCCCACCTCTTGCCATGAAAGCGTTCTCCAGGTTGTCACTCCCTCCTCAAATTATGGTTTAAAAACGTTTCTTGGGAGATTTCCTGGCTCCTCTCTGGGTCATTTGCTCTGTGGTGTTCCAGGTCAGTGTCATGCTAAAGGTACCAGCATTTAAACAAGTCCTTTCCCCACATGGTTGGTGTTAGGTGCATGTACACTCCTACCAATGCTTCTTACTATATCACTTAAAACTTGCTCCAGGCAGCATCTAAACTATTTTAAACCTTACCATCCTTTTTTTAACACACATCAGCTATCCTGCTTCAAATCTCTGACAAGGATGTGAAAACCGCAGTGTCAGAACAACTGCTGCTCTCTTCTTGGATTCTGACAAGCAACCTTCAACCTGAAACCCTCTAAAAATGGTTATTTTTATCGGTTTTATTTTTTTTTTTTTTTTTAAATTCAGAAGCTACTATATTGGCTCTGTGCTTTTTACTTGTTCTGACAGGTTGGAAATGGGTCCAAGAACTGCATGAGGCAGAATATGGCAATACTGTTTGATGTTCACCCTGTGGGTCCGCACATATCAGTGGGTCTACCTGTCAATGGGTTGACCACAAAGAGGTTATGAATGAGTGTGATTTCCCAAATTCTGGGCTAGAGAGGAGGCAAAATGGTCTCTGGAATAATTTTGGCAATCTGGGTTGTGCTGATGTGAGCACTGATGTCCTGGGCTCCAGGAGTCAAGAACTGCAACCCCTAGTCTCCATCTCCTGTATCGTAATTTGATTGAGCCATGTCCCCACAAGGAAATATATTTGCAAGGGCCCAACTCACTGCAGAGTGATATTCATTTGATACACTGTTGTTTTGATGTTTTGTGGAGGCTGGTGGGGAGCAAAGTCAACCCTGCATGACTTTAAATCTGACCCATACCAATGACTCTGCTGGGGTGGCTCTCTCTGCATGCCAAGACCTCTTTCCCTACCAAGCAGGGGAAAAGCAGAAGTGGTGGAGCCCAGGGAAAATAAAAAAAAAACCTCTACCACAGCACAGCCTTGGATATCTGCTGTTGGGGCAGGGGAATGCCTGGGTGAACTCCTGTGCCCCCACCCACCACCAGCCGTGCCTGGCAGCGGTGACTGCCTATGCCAAAGCCTGCCTGGTGGTGGCACTCATTTTTGGGAGCACAGGAGATATCAGTGATGCCTGTGTCCGGAATTTGGAGACAGGAATTTGTGGGGTAGCATTTCGGAGGTAAGAAGCCAGAGGTGAGAAGTCACATCTGATATTTCGTGCTGGTGGGTGTGTTTGGAGGTGGGAGCAATGGAGAAAGGGATGTTGATCTACACACAAGGAAGGGCAAGCTCTGCCTCATAGGGAGAAATATAGAGCAGAGACTGAAAACACTGCAAATATTTGTTCTCATTGTCAGATGTTTCTATAAAATCAGTTGTTACTGAATCACCACTGAAGTTATGGAGCACTTAAATAAGCAGAGAGTGAAAAAAGCTAAGTCTAATTATATGTTTCATGCCATTTGCAGAGGTTTCCAGGGGATTTTCTTTTAATAAAAGTGCAGTGCATCAAAAGGAATAAATCCTACAATTTTGTTATTTACAAATCAGCTGCTTCTTCCTCGAGCTGACAGACTTATCCTCCATCTTACACCCCTCTTTCCACCCCAAAATGCACCCAGTATTTTGGCATTTATATCGATACTCTAAGTGCCTACGTAACTCTTTTATACTCCTTATGTTGGTGAGCAAATGGATCAGAAGAAAACCATCACAGAGACACAAAAAAATATTCTGAAAGAAAGATACAGAGAAAAACCCCGCAGTGTTGTAAAACATGCACCGTAGACGTTTTCCAGATGAAGAGAACAAGTGCCTTTTACATCCCTGCCCAGCAATTCCTGAAGATTTCAGATCGGAAGCCTGGCTGGAGATATGATGTAATCAATTAGTTAAAATGATTTACTAACATAAAACATAACACCCTTTCGATGATTAATTTTTATCCCCTTCGCATTTTTTTTTTTTCCCCTGCCACAACCGCTCTGCCCCTTTTCTGACTCCGGATTATTTAGCAGTTGACTCTGGTGCTCAGAGCGTTGCATATCAATCCCCAGGACCAAAACATGCCACTCATGTTT